AGAGAGTGAGCTTGAGCTGGCCAAACGATATTTATAGACACCCCCAAATAATAGAGTCGTTGGCTCAATTATTGGGCTGACTGCGGGATGACCGGATGCACCGGTCGTGTGCACCGAACGCGTCCTGTGTGGTGACCGGAAGCGTCCGGTCACTGTGTCCGGTCACAGCCTAACCACCACGTGTCCCTTTCAAATTGTTTAGCCATTCGCGCCCAACGGCTATCTCTGCGTGATCGGACGCACTACTAGAAAATGACCGAACGTGGGAGACGCAGCGTCCGGTCGAGTCTAGAGAGCTTCTAGAGCTGCACTGGGCCGACCGAACACGTCCGGTCGCACCGAACCGGACGCTCCCAGCGTCCGATCAATTATTGCGCGAAAAACCCAAAACTTGTTGGTTCACACCGGACGTGTCCGGTCGCTGCATCCGGCTGCTGCGTCCGGTCGAGTCCAGAGAGCTCCTAGAGCCGCTCAACTATGACCGAACGCGTTCGGTGTGGCCAACTGGACGCACCCCTACGTCCAGTCCTCTCTGGACCAACACCCGTGCTCCACGTCACCTCGACCGGACGCTAAACAGTGATTGATCAGCGTCTGGTCACTGCTACGACCCAGAGTCCGGTCACCTCGTTAACTCTGCCATGCCTGGCCAGAATACCAGACATGTCCGGTATGGATATCGGACGTGTCTGGTCATGTCAGGAACACTGCCGCCTGAGACAGTACCGGACGCGTCCGGTATGCATATCGGACGCGTCCGGTCACCCCGTGACCAGCGCATTCAACTCCTTTTCAACTCTATCTTCTTTGCCCTTGCTCAAATGTGCCAACCACCAAGTGTATCATCTTGTGCACATGTGTTAGCATATTTTCACAAATGTTTTCAAGGGTGTTAGCACTCCACTAGATCCTAAATGCATATGCAATGAGTTAGAACATCTAGTGACACTTTGATAACCGCATTTCGATATGAGTTTCACCCCTCTTAATAGTATGGCTATTGATCCTAAATGTGATCACACTCACTAAGTGTCTCGACCACTTAAACCGAAAAGCTCCTATCAATTTCACCTTTGCCTTGAGCTTTTTGTTTTTCTCTTTCTTCTTTTCAAAGTCCAAGCACTTGATCATCACTGAAAGCATCTAGGCCCCTAGTTGGATTTCGGTGATTAATGACAATACATGATTATTGTGACTAACGTGTGTTTTGTAGAGGCAATTGAGTTAGGTCATGGTAATGGAGATCGATTGGGCTATCATGATGGTCATGCCCCTACGATGGAAATCGTTTCAGTTTTCAAAGGATGGACGACAAGGTTAAGGATGGACTAGTTCTAAGTGTCGTTTGGAGTTGGAATGACACTTAGAGTAGTTTAGGACTTTGTTTTTCCTTTGGCCATACTATTAAGGGGGGTATGAACGTGTAGCTTGACCTAGGTGAGTCTAGTGGGTTAGGTGTGGTGCACACTTGCTAAAACTAGCGCTAGGTAGCTCCTACATAGTCCTTAGATCCAATGGAGCAAACTTCATTCACATATGATCGTGAGTTGGAAGTGAATGGAGGGTCAAATACTAACCGGACACTGGCTTCGGTGCGACCGAACGCTAGCGCAGAGTCCGGACAGTTCATTTGATCAAGGTGATTTTGTTCGTTGCGACCGAATGCTAGAAGGTCAAGTGACGGACACTGAGAGCTAGCGTCCGGTTGTTTCCAGTAAGGTTCCAGAGAACGAAAATCACGACCGGACGTGTCCGGTCAGTGCTGATCGCACGCTGGCCAGCGTCCGGTCACACTGTAAACACTGGAATTCAGGGTGAACTGATCGGAGCGTCCGGTCAACATGATCGGAGCGTCCGGTCACCCCACAGAGGCACATAACGGTTCATTTTTCAGCCGGTGTTATAAATAGAACCTCCACTCGTGTGTGGGGGGTACTTTTGCTCATTCCAACAGCTGAGAAACACCTTAGAGAGTGTCAAAAAGAGCAAGGTCCTAGTGAGGTGATTGAGATTTGAGAATCCCAAAGATAGCCCTCATTAGTGAGATCAAGAGTAGAGAAGTGTGCATCCACCCTTCTCATTAGGCTTGTCGTGGTCAAGTGAGAGTTCGTGCTTGTTACTCTTGGTGATCGCCATCACCTAGACGGCTTGGTGGTGATTGGGAGCTTGGTGATCATCCGGAGAGGTTGTGGATGACCCAACTCACATTGTGAGCGGTTGTGGGTGATTCACCGTGATGGAGTGTCGAAGAATCAACCCGTAGAGAGCACTTGATCCTTGCGCGGATCAAGGGAGAGCAACACCCTTGCACGGGTGCATCAACGAGAACTAGTGGGGAGTGGCGACTCTCCGATACCTCGGCAAAACATCGCCGCGTTCCTCCTTCTCTATTTACTTTGAGCATTTACTTTGAGCATTTAATTTGAGCAATTCAATTCTTGTCTTTACATTCATAGAATTGCTATGCTAGAGTAGGATTAGAACTTAGGTTGCAAGTCTTTTGTGCGGTAGAACAATTAGAAACACTTTTTAGGCACAAGGGGTTAATTGGGATAACCATATGATTTAATTATTGCAAAGAAATTTAGAACTAGTCCAATTCACCCCCCCCTCTTGGGCATCTTGATCCTTTCAATCATCATGGCATCACCATCATCATGTCATGATCTTTATTTGCTTCACCACTTGGAGTAGTGCTACCTATCTTTTAATCACTTTGATAAACTAGGTTAGCACTTAGGGTTTCATCAATTCACCAAAACCAAACTAGAGCTTTCACTAAGCCACCGTGGGGTGAACTAGCTAGCGCTATAGTATCACTATCTTACCCTGGTTGCGGCTGCGGTGGTGGTTTGGTCGGAGGTTCCCCGAACAGGGCTGGCCACGTGCGGCAGTGGGATGCGACGGTGCTCCTAGATGGCGCGGCCACGTCAGTGGCTATGGTGAGGCGGTATAGGTGCAAGTGAGGTACGTAGGGTGAAGTGGAGGTAGAGGTGGAGTTTGTGGTGCAGATGGAGTGACAAGGGGTGGAGCGGTGTGTGGCTACCCTTGGCCACGCCCGATCCCGGCCTTAATGACACGACGGAGGGGAAACTCCAAATTGGAGCATGTCGTGACGCAATTCAAGGCGGGGTGGGGACGGTTGGCACGCGTACATCAATGCACATACACGGGCACGTGAAATTGAAGGCAAGTGCCTGCGCCCTGGCTCACCGTGGCCACGACGTGATGATGGAAACAGAGGCGGTCGGACGCACAGAGGTGGGCAGGGAGAAACGAGAGGACAGGAGGCGATGAGGACGCGGTCGATAGCTGGCGAGTGCACCTTGGTGTGATGCAACTGGCGCAACCAGTACGGCCCACGCCCGGCGCTAGCCGACGACACGCGCTCAAGGTCGGCGTGGCCCGCGCGCCGCAGTGCCATAAATGGCATGGCGACGGCGGTCCGGCCCCGCGGTGGACAGCGCCCAGGCGGACCAGAGGCGCAGCGCGGTGCAGCGGCAGGCGAGAGCGAGACAGTGACGCGACGGCAGCGGTAGCGTCGCGACGTGGGGTGGGGCAGCGCGACGGGACGAGTCGACATCCACGGCTCCACACGGCGGCAGGCCGAGGAGGCCAGTGATGCGGCCAGAGCAGCAGCACGGCAATGGAACGGGACATCCGCGTGGCAGGGCGTCAACGGCGGCCAGGATGCCGGGCCCGCGTGGCAGCAGCAACGCGTAGCCAGGCCGATCAGCCCGCGGTGGACCACCGAGCGCGCCAACGCGCGCACGCGTAGAATGCCCGACGCGGCGGCGACAACCACTGACGCGCGGTGACCGCGACCACGTGAGGGAAACAAACCGAAAACGTGATGTGCACGGATTTTAAAGCTTCTACCGCGACCAACCCGTTACTCCTAAACATAAATGGTCTTCACTACACTCAAGATGGTATATGAGGCTACTTAATCAAGCTATAGCACTACATCGCTCTTTAACCCAATTCCTCAGAATAGTTTGCTAAACATAGCAATGTCTAACTGTCAACAAACTTTGAAATTTTTCTAAGTTTTGAGTTGAACTCTACTTCAAATTGCATTTCTAAGCTATTGGGAATCTTATCTAGTAATATTATTTTTCGACCACAGGTATTTCATTGTCATCTACAAAGTTTGTACTTCGAACCTTATTTAAGTATCACATACATATTCTATACCATTTTTGCTTAATAAAAATTGGTTTTAAACCCTAAGTGATATAACATGACTATGAAATTAACTTTCATTTATTGATCTACACTCTTTATTACATGCATTAACACATAAACATAATGCTCATGACATGTTTTAGTAAATGATTTACAGTGTAACACCGAGGGTGTTACAATAGAGAAGCATGGCAGTGAGGTTTTCAGCCATGAAGTTTTCAGTGATTTCTAGAAAGAGGTCATAGCTGCTAGGGACCATTGCCTAATTGACTCGGTGCAACAAGAGGGTGATGTCAAAATCACCGGTATCATTGAAGGTTCTCGAAGACCAAGAGTTGTACAATCACCCTGTTCGCTTGGGCTTGTTTGGCTTATAAGCCGTACTTTTTCAGCCAACAAACAATATTTTCTCTCACAACAAATCAGCCAACAATACTTTCAGTCATGGCTTATCAGCCAAACAAGCCCAAGCGAACAGGGCGAATACTCCCTCCGTCCCATATTAAGTGGACGTCTGGAGTTCAAATTTTTCCCCAATTTAATCGATCACATAGGTCTCCAGTCCAAACCTGTCGGACAGAGCTGCAGTACCTTTTCACCAGCGTCAGCGCATGGGAGCATTCCTGGCCACAAGTTTTTTTTTCTCGATAATTCCTGGCCACAAGCTAAGTGTCTCCAGATGCATGGAACACCAGATGAGTGTCTTACTATAGGGGTAGTTCTATCATTTTGCACATGTCTTAACTTAAGTTGCCTCTTTGAAATCTAGAAGTGCTTTTATTTGGGGACGGAGGGAGTATAATAGATCAACAATGGTTGCAACATGCACCTATATGTTGTTTGAAACTCATGGCATACCATGTCGCCATATCATTCCAGTTCTAAGATGTGCGAGGATAAATGAACTATCAAGCTATTATTTATTAGAAAGGTTTACACAAGGCTGCAAGAAAACTCCAGTGTTTGATGTGGATGGTACCTTGTTGGAGGAAAATAGTAGCAACCAGAATGACCCCGAGACGCAGAAATTGCTCTCGGAGTGTTGCAGACAGATGGAAAAACTTGTCACGCAAGCTAAGCAATCACCTACTGCTATGTGTTTGTTAAGAGATGAACTAATTGAAGTTGGTCAGAAACTCAGTGAGATGGTTCCAGAAAACAATGTGAGCCAGGTTGAGGAATTTGAGTCATACACTGGATGTTGCATTCTAGATCAAATTGACACCCACCCACCGAATGACACATGTTCCAGGGGTAGGATCAAGAGAATCAAAGGGCACCGGGACAAGGGAGCACAACAAAACAAGAATGAGAAGAAAAAAAAAAATCAGAGGGTGCCACGCAAGTGCAAGACATGCAAACAAGTTGTGATTCATGATTCACGTAACTGCCCAAATAGAGCACCACAGCAATGATACAAAGGTACATGACCATATAATTCTCGAACAATCAACTTTGGTGCGATACAAATTGAAAAATTTAGATAACATGCTGAAGATAGTATTAATAAGGTCATTTTTGTGGTCACTGCAGTTGCAGTATACAGTAACGTATACTTGCTATTTTTTATGGTTCTTTCATCGTCACATTTTTGCCGTTGCAGTTAGATGCATTTTTGTATGGGCTTGTGTTTACAAGTGGGCATTCAGAGATTACCATCCTCGGCTTGATTATGGAGATATCTGTTAGTTGATGGATAGTTGCGACTCTTAATGAAAATCTTTATTTAGGCATTGCAGCTTGGAATGTAGGAACAACTTGGAAAATTTTAGCTCTATGCTGATTGCCAATATGTCAAATATATGATACATGTTCTGGATTTCAACTTCTGATGGCCTATATGACATATATATCTGTTAGAACAAACAATAGCATTTCAACAGAACACAAGATGTGAATTGATACCATCAGAACACACATTCATTTCACCTTTCCCTTCAATTTTACGGTAACATACACCCACACGGACACACATTAGCTAACCCCCACACACATTTTCTGTTCACTTCCACCTACCAGCAACAACGTCACCAATCAGGACACATACACCTACAAACACATGCGCTACAACTGAAGAATCGAGCACAATCTGCAACTTCCTCGTGTCCAATTCAGGCTACAATTCAGGATTCAGTCCAGGCTTCGGCTCAGCAGGTTGCGCCTTCAGTTTCCAAAGCTCAGCTACAACAGTATCCAGTGTTTGCTTGACCTCTTGCAATTCTTTCTTCAATTCGGTTCCCAGTCTGCAACTGCTTCCAAGGCCTCATACTCCAACTCAGAGCGGATGAAGCCACAGGTAGTAGGATCACCATGCATTTAAACAGAGTGCGTCAATCAGAGTAGCATCAAGAGACAGTGAGGTCGACGATGTCAAGAATCCTAACCTTTATGTTGTACGGGCACTTGACGAACCACTCGTCCTTTGTCGCCGGCTGCTTGCTCTGGATCCGGACCAAAGGAACATGGCAAAAGGGGCACTCCCTTCTGCCGCTGGCCATCGCACTCGAGCCCGTCGAAGTTAGCTTCATCGGGCTTCCAAAAGCTGGGCACGGACAAGGAGCAGAGCCTCGACAGCACCAGCCTCAACAGGTTATGCTGCCGCTTTGACCTATCCTGATGAGGAGTTCCTTGGCTCACATAACCATTTCATGTTACTGATTGCGCAAAACGGTCAGCACATTAATATGCCATATATGTAATAATTTGATAAAAGATAGGTGAAGCCAAAATGATAGTACTTAAGCAAAGACCAAATGAAAAATAATTGTGTTCCATTGAACAAAAGATTAAACTCACACAAATTTGAAGCCTACAGCATTGCCGTATACAATAGAAAAAATAAATTTGGTGATATGGCCCAGTACTGGAATATGCATCAACCACAATAAATAACAATGTTGTTAAGCGCAATATCCTGTAGAGAATCTTTTTAAATTGAAATAATCTAGAACAATGAAAGGTTATTGGTGGCAAATCTTAGGTCTGCAGCCTGCAGGCCATCCTCAACCACGACGAACTGGAGATTGGGGGCAAACCTGAAAAGTAGAGGGTCTGCGCGAGCCGGATTCGGTGGTAGTGCGGAGGAGTCCGTCCAAGGCCGCCCTGAGGGCGCTGTTCGTGGGGAGGAGGCACGGGGGGAGCTGAGTCGCCGGCCGGGGAGGCGAGATGGGGTCGCCTCCCTAGTGGAGGAGTCCGGGGGCGAGCCAGGAGCTGTGGCTGAGCGGAGGAGGCCGGGGGGGAGCTCGGGGCGCCTGCCGACCGGTGGCCGCAGTGGGGGCGACGGGCGGCGGAGGCACGAGGCTCGATCCGCGTGTGTGCAGTCCGCAGGCGGCGTGGTCCTACAGAGAGGAGGCGGCGGCCGGGGCGCCCGCCGCGCAGAGGCCGCGGCGGGGGCGGCCGGCGGCCGGGCGACGGGCGGTGGGCAGGCGCGTAGCTCCGCAAGTGCACAGTCGGTGGCTGATCAGCTGTATGCGTACGCTCAAGCTTCTTCAGATGGGGACCTTGCGTACAGCCGCCATGGCTCCCAAGTCCGACCCAGCGACTCCTTCTCAGATGGGGAACGATTGGAGTAGACCTGGCGGCACACTCAAGCTTCTTCAGGGGTCTAATTGCAAAGGGCACTGAAGCAGTGTGGGGAGGGAAATGAAAATGTACTAGGGAACTTTCTAGGCCGCAGATCACGCATCCGATGGTGCACGCTGTAAGTTTGCAGATTTTCACGTACTAGTGAGTTTACACTGCATAATAGAACAGCTAGTGTGACGCCTTGCTTAGTTCTACCCCAACTTCCAAAAAGTTGCTACAGTACCTGTCATATCGAATGTTTGCGGCCCGTGCATGGAGCATTAAATGTAGACGAAAAGAAAAACTAATTGCATAGTTTGGTGAGAAATTGCGAGACGAACGTTTTGAGCCTAATTAGTCCATGTTTGAACACTATTTATCAAATAAAAACGAATGTGCTACAGTAGCCCCAAAATCCAAATTTCGCGAACTAAACCAGGGCTGAGTATATGATTTATATTGTCAATAGGCTTAATAAGAAATCCATCGGTAAAGATGTATTTACATGGATGGCTTTCTTAACATAGCGTCATGACAAATAATTTAAAACATTTTAAAGATTTTTTATATGATCTTGAATGAAGAAATGATGTAAATGAAAGTTTTAGTACTCGAAAAGATTTATAACTTTTGTAGTTGACTGCCTTTTCATGTGAAATCATTTATACTAGAAATTATATTTTAAGATTAACAATTTCAAAATTCATATTTTTTTTTGAATTTTTCAAATGACCGTGAATAGAAAAATGGCTTAAACCAAAGTTGTAGTATTTGAAGGGATCTAAAACTTTTTATTTAAATTCGTTAAGGATCTCAAATATGGATTTCAATATTTACAAAGTAAATACAAAAGAAATGTATTTGATACTCAATTACAATTGACTTTGAGGCGTAGTGGTTTAAGGAAGGAATGCGTGAGGCCTAAAGTTGTGAGTTTAATCCTCATCAACTGCACGCGCGTGTATTTCGTGCAATGACTTGTGACACACGAACTTTGGGGGCTAATTGGTGGGCCTCTCCTGGTTCTTTTTGCTATTTTTTGTTTGATATGTAAATTCTTGAACATATTTACATTAGTAGTTTGTGTAAGTATACTACCAGTATAGATCGACTTTATACCGACGGTGGTTTTAAGAAAATTGCCAGTATAAATATTTACACAGGTGGTTCTCAAATGATGCTGACAAAAACACCACCATTTTTACCGGTCTTTTCCATTGGTGTTTCAAAAAATATTAGTACAAACCGAAAGAGTGCTGCCAAACATAATTGTTTCTAATACTAGTGGACTATTCGCCCCCTCCCCTCATAAAAAAACAAGTTTCCAGTCATATATGCTCACTAATTGAGTTATACGCCAATTTCAAATCAATGTATACTAGTAGTATTATTTGAGTTGACATATACTGTCCAAAAGATGGCCCTAACTAGGCACAGCAAGCCTTAGTAAGTAACATTTGTTACACATATGTCACGTGACATGGAGTACTATAATTTTCTCAGATCGAAACATATATAGTTACCAACTTGACAATTGGTAGCAGTGTAGCACTACTGAGTAGCGAGTAGCGAGTGTACTCCATACCAATCAACTCTAGACACAGCGGGCATCCATGACATACATTAGCTTCACAAGTACTAGTACTCAAACACGTAGCTGTTCTCGAGGGCTTGGAACACGGTGGACTCCTTCTCCATCACCTTCGCCACCTCCGGCGCCACGTGCACGTACACCAACCAGTCGCCGTCCCCGCGCGCGCTCGGCATCGGCATCACGTACCCGGCGCCGCCGGCCCAGGGGAAGTGGTACGACGCGAACGCCGGCCGGCCCCACCCGAAGTCCACCTCGCCGACGGGGAGCTGCATCCCCGACGACACCACGCAGGCCATCGCGTCCTCGTCGCCGTTGCCGCGGCACAGGTGCGCCCTCGCCACCGTGGGCTCCGGCCGCTGCGCCTCCACCCAGTCGACGAGCTCGCGGAAGTGCTCGCCGGTCGCGGCCTCCGCCACCCACCGGTGCACGTCGTCCGCCACGTCGGCGAGCGCCATGGTACTCAGGGCTCCGGTGCCCATGACACCGTAGGGGATGGTCAGCACGTTGCCAAAGTAGGTGCTCATGGCGCCGTCACGGCGGAGGCGAGTGCGCCCGTCCACCACCACGCCCATGCAGCACGAATGCGGCTGACGCCGCAAGGCTGCTGCAGCCTTGGCGTAGAGCCCCCACAGGTGCGCCGTGAACGCCTCCAGCTTGGTGCGCCCGGACCCCGCCGAGGCCTGAAGCGCCGTGACGTCGGCGGCGGACAAGCGGTAGATGCGGTTGACGGCGGGTGTGTCTGGCAGTGCTGGAACGCGGCTCACGGGGACGAAGAGGCGGTCCACGAGGTTGCCGGTGGTGCAGAGTGGTGCTGGTTCGCGCGGCGCAAGGAACGAGCGGTGGAAGGACGGGGCCGGAGGCGCTGAGCCGCCACGGGCGGCCACGGCCCACGCGACGAGGAACATGTTGAAGGAGTAGGCGTCGCAGACGCGGTGGTCGAAGGTGCACCCGACGACGGCGCCGCCGCACCTGAACTTGGTCAGCTGCGGGCGTTGCGTGGATGTCATGCGCCATGCAACAATACGGTCGTCATCACTCATCAAAGACTCAAAAGGACGTTGCGTGATGCAATGCTACGTCATGCAATGCAAATAAACGCATCATACGAGTAATGTGTTTTACGGGAAAGCAACATTTTTTACGTACACGCAGCTTAAGCAGGTCGTCGACAATACATACCTTGACCGCCATCACGCCAGCCTTCTTGGCAGGCACCAGCTTCTCAACGCCCTCGTCCACGGCGCCCAGCCGGACCTCCCGCAGCTCGACGCTGGCCGCGGTCGTCTCCGTGAAGTCCACGCCGCGGCCGCTGTAGAGCAGCTCCGGCTCTCCGTCGCCGTTGGCCACCACCTCCCCGGCCAACGGGTAGTACGCCACCAGCGTCTTGGCCAGTGCCTCCTTGAGACCGGCCGCGGTGGGCGCCGGGTGGAGGTAGCAGAAGAAGATGCTGACGTCCAGCGGCGGCAGGAGGAGGTCCAGGTTGGACAGCGGCAGGCGGTGTTCCTGCACCGGAAGCGCCGGCGCCACCGTGACGGTCACGTCGCGGCCATCGTCGTGCTCTTTGGTGGCTTCTAATTTCACCATGTTGCCTGCGTGATATGCGTGTGTTGGCTTGTGACTTCAGAGCGTGAGGCTGGAGGAAGTGTACCCCTGTACTTGTAGTAGGTCTTCAGGTTTTCTAATAAGGTGCCATGATATATGATGATATGAGTATTTAAAGGGATGGGGTTAGGTAAACTAATTAGACTGCACATTTGCAATGCAGTACCTTATTTTATTTGCAAAATTTGCTAACTATATAATGCTATTTTATTTCCTCGACCAATCGAAAAGTTCTGATGTGTACATTGTAGTACCCTATTATCCCATGTTATTATTATATGCACTTATGCTGGTCTGCAGGTTTGGTGGGATTCTCTTCTGCTATAGACAAAATAATGAGAGATCATCGCCAGTCGATCAGCATCTGCATTTCTTGGTTGTAAATAATATAATAATAAATAATAATAGCTTTGGTTACTATTTTGAGAGTGAATCTTCCGCAAATGTTGAGATTAACCACAAGTAAGTTTTCTTATAAAATTAAAAGTGGTGCACTGTATTTCATTCTTAATACAATGATTCATGGTTCTCTAAGTGTTCGAGAATAAAATGATATTGTAACGCAATCATATTCTTTACATTGGATCAGCGAAAATGATCCTTTCGTGAAAAGTTGGGGAATGGGAGAAAAATGGATTTTTGCTATTGAATTTCATGCATTAGTTAAAAATACATATTTTTATAGCTAGAAATTATAAGCTCCCAATGATGGCATATGCGGATTACAAATGGGCAATATCTCTAGCCAAGTATCTTTTAACTGATAACATATATATAAACGTGTTCTATTTGGGAAAAAATACTCAAGCTCTTAGAAACCTTAGAGCTAGCTATATTGCTCTTAGAAATCTTGGATGTGGAGCGAGAGGTACGTTGAGAGCATTTAGATGAATCATTTTGTATATAGTTTGGACTGGGTGTAAATGTTTATGCCACTTCAATTTTATCTATAGTTTATAGGTCCAACCTGGATCTCAAAGCTGCAGGTGTGTTAAATGGGGCCATATGCCGAGTTTACAAAGAGTCTCACGATTACTAAACCCTTTGGGCAAACTAGTTTTGGTGATACAATATGACAGTAGCTTTCATGTGCCAACCAGGTCCAACCGAAAAACTTCGGCATTATTTGTCAAACGGTTGGGAGAGAAACACGCAAGAAGGACAGGTCCCACATTTGGTTGCATTGCTCGGAACTACTGAAGAGTGTCGTTTAACGTTCGTCAGATATAAACCAAACAAACCACACTCTGCCAACTACTGAAAAAGTGTCGTTTAACGTTCGTCAGATTATAAACCAAACAAACCACATTCTGCCAAATGCAGTGCAACGGCGTTCAGGTTTCCGAGGCAGCTGAACTGAACCGAGCAACCACACGACTCATTTTTAATTTTACCTGTCACGTACGCCTACAGGCCACTGGCCATACCAAGCAGGTAGGAGTAAGCTACGACTCCTATGTGCCCATGTGACGGTTAGGAATGTGACTTCGGACTCGTTCGTTTCACTGAAAAAAGTAAGGAAGAAGACGACGTCTTATAATTTATTAAGCGTCGATTAGGAAAATGTTGGAGCCTGCAACCAATCACAGATCGACATGCATACACAGAAACGAAGCAAATAAAGCTACACTTGGCAACATAACCTAGCTACGTACTTTAAAGTGTAACCACCATTAATATTCCCCCATGCAATCGACCGGGCGCGATCGGTAGCATGGAAAGCGCATGTACGGTGGCTTCGAGTCGCTTGTGTTTGCATCGAGGCACTCAAGTTTACTCTCTGACATCACTACGCGGAAAAACGTTGCCGAGTAAAAAAAAAAAATGCTTTACCGGCCGCCGTGAAATTTCGTCGATCTACTTTTCCGGCGGGCACACACTCGACGTGAAACCTGATCGCACTCGACAACAGGCAAGCATTTGCGACGTGGCGTGCGCTGACGGCGACGAAGACGGACATTCAGCAAAGATTGATAGGGAGAACCATCCGACCTCTTTTCTAAAAGTGCCCGAGATGATCGATTACGATTAAGATTACGATTACGATTGCGAAAACTTAGCAGAGCGTAAATATTTTTTTAGTTTTTGCCATCAATTTTTTTAAGCGTCGATTAGTACAATGTTGGAGCCTGCAACCAATCACAGATCGACATGCGTACACAGAAACGAAGCAAATTGGCTACATTTTTATATAACCTATTTTGTTTTGTTTTAAAGTTTTTCCAAAAATAATATAAGTTTGACTCGACCGGGTGCGATCGGTAATAATGGAATTACATTCGTTCAGGTCACCAAAAGCCGAAAGGTACGGTGGCTTCGAGTCGCTTGTGTTTGCATCGAGGCACTCAAGTTTACTCTCTGACATCACTACCGAAAAAACGTGAGTTGTCGAGTGCAAAAATCTTTACCAAGTGTTAAATTTGAGCACTTTTGGTAAAGACATTACTTTGCCGAAAATCACACTCCCAAAAATATGTCACTTTCGGCAAAGAGCACGCTGCCGAAAAATTAAGTGCACACTCCGACGGATTGCGCGTCGCCACTTTGGCAAAAACAAGGTAGGGGCTACATTTTGAACGGCATCCAATCCATTATTTTTTGCCGATGACCCCGTTTGGCACTGAAAAATTTATTTTGCGAAAAATTCAACAAAACAAAATAAACTATAGAAATATGCAAAATATTTCCCAAATTTTTTTTTTTTGTCACCAATTTTTTTAAAAAATTAGTACAAAACCAAAAAATATGTTTCGAATTTGGGACATTTTCATTACCTTTCATATTTTTATAGTTTATTTTGTTTTGTTGAATTTTTCAAAAAATGTAAGTTTGAAAACTTGCGAGTGCGAATATGGATTACATTTGTTCAAAAAATGTTATCTTTGTTGCTTAGTCGCAAATTTAGGCAAAATCCAGGATCTTTCACCTCGAAATTTCGATCAACGCGCTCTCTCTCCTCTCTCTCATTTCTCTCTCTCTCTCACCTCTCTCTCCTTAATTGTATATAAATGCACGAACTCATTCCCCGATCATGAAACTCCCCACGAGGCCCCCGTGCTCGTATGTCCGCCAAGCTCCTGGAAAAAATTTAAAAAAGCCCCAGCACGCTGAGACGAGAGAGGAGGCTCACAAACCAAGAGAGGAGGAGGGGGAGGAAGAGAGAGGAGGACTTTCAGAGAGGAGAGAGAGAAGGAGAGAGAGAGGAAGGAAGGCCTACTCTCTCTCTCTCTCTCTCTCCTCTCTCTCTCTCTCCTGGGTCTCTCTCTCTCTCCCTCTCTCTCTCAGCGTCGCCGACCCTCGTTGTTGCCATTCTCCCACGTCGGGCCCAGCGAAGGCCTGTATGCCCTACACTGTAGTAGTTAGTAGTAGTACTTAGTAGTGTTAGTAGTAGTTAGTAAGTAGTAGTAGTTAGTAGTTAGTAGTGTTAGTAGTATTGTTAGTAGTAAGTAGTGATAGTAGTAGTGTTAGTAGTAGTAGTGTTAGTGTTAGTAGTAGTTGTAGTGGTAGTAGTTAGTAGTGTTAGTAGTATTGTTAGTAGTAAGTAGTGATAGTAGTAGTAGTGTTAGTGTTAGTAGTATTTGTAGTGGTAGTAGTAGTAGTAGTGTTAGTGATAGTAGTAGTGCTAGTGTTAGTAGTAGCTGTAGTGGTAGTAGTAGTTAGTAAGTAGTAGTAGTTAGTAGTTAGTAGTGTTAGTAGTAAGTAGTGATAGTAGTAGTGTTAGTAATAGTAGTGTTAGTGTTAGTAGTAGTTGTAGTGGTAGTAGTACTTGTTGTTGTACTACTTCGATACTTTCATCTGCATGGAAAGAGAACTAAAGTACATGGCTCGTCTTGGTATATATATGTTTGTTGGCCTTCGTGCCTATGTTTGGTATATATGTGGTTGTTGGCCATCGCGCCTCGTTTCTTTCTTGCAGTTTTGGAAACCTCCCCATGCAGGGAGGTCTTGCCGAAATTTTCAATGGATTCTAACCTATTGCCTTTTTATGTAGGGAAGGACCCGTGGGAGGGACTCAGGCGACCCGATCGTCTTAAATCGGCCTGCTGGTCTTTGCACCGCATCGCCTCGCCACTCTGCACCGACATGCCACTGATCCGCTAGCCTGACTCCACCGCCACCCTAGGTATAACCCCTCCTCCTTTGCATGCATGTTTTATATGGTCACGTAGCCCAGTTAGGTGTCTCCTGTTCGAAAGAGATACGGTCGGAGGTATGTAGATCTTTGCATATCTGCGACCGTATCTCTTTCGGATTGTCCACGTATTTTGGACAGCCCGCGGATGCGTAGATGAGGTTAGTTTCCATGGTTCGCTCCAGTCTGAGACAGACTTTCGACATCACCTCCCTGTTGTTCTCCGGATACACACTCTCCCTTGTAGGACATGTATCGGGAGAACAGCGGGGAGGTGCTGCCGAAATTCTGTCTCGGATAGGAGCAGAGCATTGAAACTGACCTCATCTATGCATCCACGGGTGGGATTAGGACCTATCCTCACCTATTAGATGGTAGGAACACCGTGCAGATGCAATTGCTGGTTATATTACTCGCTTACATATGTATATGCCAAAGGATGGAGAACCGTGATTGGATGTACACGGGCCACGCAAGTATGACCCCAGAATGGATGACTAAGACTAATGCTTTCTTGGAGCATTCATTTGGCGAGGCTGCTAGAGGGTCGAGTCGGATGTTGTGTCCCTGCAGCAAATGTGACAACCGTGTAAGAAAGAATAGGAAGAACGTGGGGGAAGATCTTTGCAAGTATGGATTCACGCCAAACTATACCTGCTGGATCCACCATGATGAAGCCGATCGTATTAGAGAGGAGGTGGTGAGACCACACCTCGAGGCTTTTGATGGAGATGCTGGGGTAGCAGACTGGATGGATGACTTTCAGGAGGCACGGTTTGGTGAAGGATTAGAGGATGAGCCAGAGGAATCCGCAAAGGCATACTACGATATGCTGTCTTCGGCACAGAAG